TCATGAAGAGACAGATGCAAATTGAGGGATATTCCCCAAAACAACTGGCCTGGTCTCTTACAAAATGTCAATGTTACTAAAGAGGAAAAAAAGATGAAATAGCATCCTAGATGAAAAAAAAAAATGACTAAAGAGATGTGACAACTAAATGCAGTGAGTAACCTGGATTGGATGCTGAATCAAACAAACAACACTATCAAGGATATTTTATAAACAATTGGTAAAGTAAAACAGATATTAAATAGTAATGTGTTAATGTTACACTTCCTTCCCAAGTGACAATGTTATTGAGGTTTTGTGGAAGAATGTCCCTTTCTTTGGAGATGACTTGAAATATTTAGGAGTAAATCAATACAATGTTTCCAAGTAATTCTCAAATGGATTAGCAAAATTATGATCAATAGAGAGGGTGCAGATGTGGCAAAATGCTAACAATGAGAGGGTCTGTGAGATTGCATTATTCTTACAATTTTTCTGTAATTTGAAATTTTTCAAAATAAAAACTTGAAGGAAAAATTTTTAGGAGCATGCATTTCCCCCTCAAGAAACCTCCCCTCCCTCAAGAAAAAAGACAAGAAAAGAAGAAGGTCTTCAAGTTGAATACACCTGAGTCTACCCATACCAGCTGTGTGAACTCTGCGCCCCCTTTTCCTCAGCTGCAAAGTGGCAGTGTTGATGTCCAGCACAAGCGCTTCTGTGGGACAATGCAGGCACCATTGGACAGACACCTGGACCAGGGTGGCCAGCACTGTGTTCTCTGTGTTCACATTTGCTCTCCTCCCTTCCTCCTGCCTCATCCCTGTTTCACCTCAGGATCCATTAAACTGGCCTTGGAGGGAGATTTGCTCAGGATAAATAAGAACAACTATGTGCCCTGTAGAGTGCACAGCTGAAACAATATGACACCCTGCGGGGACACTGGGATGCAGGCTGGCTGACCCTCTGAATGTCGAACCACAGGGACAAAAGTCAGAAAAGCATCCACCCACGACTTGCTGGCTTGTGCCATGGACTGGAGCTCAGACACTAGCCAGAGCTCCTCAAAGTGGGGTCACTGGCCCATCTGAGCAGTATCCACTGTGGTTCGTGTAAAACTGCAGACTCCAAGACCCGACTAGGACCCTAATGGGCTTCTCAGCAGGGTGTCGGGAGTGCGCATTCTAACACGGTCTTCTAGGTGACTCTGAGGCACACTCAAGTTGAGCACTCCTGACTCTCACCACAGCCGTTGTGGATGTGCTACCTTATAGCAAAACTGGTCCACTGAAGAATTGGATTCCTGTGCTTGAAGCCTCATAATAACATAAAAAGGTTATAGCCACCACAAAGGAGTCCACAAATGGGAGCAAACGAAAATTCAGAGTTGTACATAGAGATAAAAGCAGGAGATTTAGGGAGAAAGCAATGTTTCTCTCTGAGTTTCACCAGCTCCAGACTCAAAGTGTATGAATGAAATGCTGCCCCAGCCTTGGGGGTGAAGGGAGCCGCCATCTAGAGCCCCCAAATCCACCATTATCTGCACATGAACACTAAAGGGATCAGAGTGGGCTCTGAGCCCCTCCACTCACCATGACTCTGGGAAGCTGCATAACCCAAACAGTTCCCTCCTCTGGACATGTGCAGCAAGTGGTAATTCTACAGCACCTTATAAGCTCCCAAAGCTCCAGAAATTCCAATGACCGACTTGGAACTGCCAGTGTCTCTCCAAGCCATGCCCGCTGACCTCTCTGGAGAAGGTCACTCTATTAGAGGCCACCTGAGTGAAAGAAGCCAACAGCAGTCACCTGGCTTCCCTGCAGCCCACTGAGGGCTTGTTCATTTGGCTTGGAAGGTGACTGGGCTCCTCTTCTGAGCCCAGGAGATCAGATCATTTGGCCACACAACTTCACCTCTGATCCTGAGAATCCTCTATTCCAAACCAACTCCAGCAGGCATTTACCCACAGGGTCTGAGTTATTTTGGGAGACTCCACATCCTGTACTCAGCCCTAGGGAGGGGAAGAGAAGAACAGACAATTGGGCAGTCTCCACCCCCAATCCACCCCCAAACTCAGATTGGGGGCAGAGAGCCATTTGCAACTTTAACTCTTCCCTGGCTCTGGCTGAGACCAGGCCATCCCACTTAGAAAAGCCTCAAATGGCAGCATGTCAACCATTTTAATTCAAGAAGGGGGGAAAAATAACAAAGTATATCAGGAGAAAATTATGCGTGGAAAGTGATTTTTAAAAATCGTCTCTAAATATTACAGCCAGAGTGAAAGGATGGAAATTGCATCATCAGAAGAGCATTTTTGTGAGTGCGGTTTAACACTGAAGAAATAAATAATTTTCCCAACTGTAATATTTCACCCTTTCAGGAACTCTGAAGTTTATTTGGGAGATGAGAATTGAATTAAACTCTTTAGATGTATCGTTTCACACACCAGCACACCAAGTCATTCACATTGGAACCCAGGGAAGGGTAACCTCTGAGGTGTCAATGTTTGCTGCGTCCCTTCTTTCTCTATTGTTCCCTACAGTGTACAAAGCCCCCAGGAGGGGTCTGGTCAAGCATCTGGCCTTGCTCAGGAGAGGTGCTGGGTGCAAGGAAAAGAGAAAGGGAGGCAGCAAGGAAAGAGTCTGCAATGATTTTGCCAGGGTGACGAGGGCCTTTTTGCATGGGGAATGTGGTTCATTAGGCTTGAGGTGATAACTCATATTTAAGAGCCTTGATTTGTTAGATCTCTCCTGGATTCAGTTCCACACACAGTCACTCAGGGCCTAGCATTTGGCAAGAACTGAGCGCATCCTGGGAGTGGACAGAAATGAATAATGCACAACCCCTACTGTCTGCCCTTCAGATGTCTTTCAAGGACAGGAGAGTCACACATGGTGGGCGCCTGGCATCCCTGAAACCAATCAATCTGGGACTGTGAGACCCCCATAGAAGAAAACCTGATGGCACTAGTGGGCTTGTATTTAAATCCTCCTCAGCTGCAGAAAACCACTGCTCTGCTCTTGATGGACACTTGCTTCTTAACACAAAACAACACAAAATAGAACAAACACAGCCTTCCTTCTCTGCCTCTGACACCCACCTCCTCCAGTCTGCCAGGCCTGCCTTGGTCCTGGCTCCTCACAGAAGCAGTGGTCAGCCCTGGAGATATCACTGATTTCCACTGCCCCAGCCTCCTTGGGACCTGGCTGACCTACTGTGCCCTAACCCTGTTTCCTTTCTGCCACACTTTCTATTTCCTCTTCGACCACATGCTTCAAGCCCCATCTGCTGGGCCTTCAGGCTACCTGATGCCTGACCTGAGGTAACCTTATGTCCTCAGACACCTATGGTCCATTTCTGGCTCTTCTGCCCTAACTTGTTCTACTGCCAGTAAGCTCCAGGTGCCAATGGTGGCCTTCAAGACTGCCATCGGACTGATGTTTGGGACTGAAAAGCCACTGCACTCAGAGCGTTTGCAACCTCCATAATTTACACTGCAACTGCCAGAGGAGAGGCAGTTTGACCACTGAGATGCATCATTGCAAAACAATTCAACTAATTTGCTTTCCTAGCACCCATTTGTACATCAGACCCCAAAGGACGGAGCTCTATTCTCATCAAAGGGACTTTCCAACTGGCTCCCAGACTGTAGCTACTGCAGAATCACCTGGTGGGCTTGCTGAGCCACCTCCTCCACCCCCCACCTCTGGTTCTGAAGAACTGAAAGTCAAAAGGACAATTTGTATTTCTAACAGGCTCTCGAGTGAAGCTGATGCTCTGGCCTAGGGACCTCACTTTTGAGAACCCCTGCTCCAGTCCAGTGGTTTTCAAACCTGGCCCACATTGGATTCACCGAGGGAGATTTAAAAACAAACAAACAAAACCACAAATGCCTGAATCTACCCTCCTTCCCATTCTGATTCAATTGGTCTGAAATACAGACTCGTCATTGGGCACTGTATAAACGCTGTAGGTAATTCTAATGTTCAGCAGGGGTTGTGAATGTCTGCTGTTGTCCATTTCATCAGCTGGGCTAGGGGTGGGGAGGCTTCTTTATCACCCCCCCCCCCCCCCCGGC